CGAGCCTATTAGCCCTGCACCTCGATCAGCTGCAGCTGCCGCGTGTTTAGGGCCACTCTAAAGGGTCCAGAGGCCATTCGGCGAACTTCGACTACACTAATTTTCTGCTCGTAAAAACAACTTTAATTGCGAAAAAAGAAAACCATATTTTTATTGTTCGTGCCGAGCGAAATTGTTTGTGGTCTGTTCCTGGATAGATTCTGGCCATATAATTAAGCCCCATTCCGGGTGAATATAATCCCGGCTCGGCGTAGTCCGCCAACCATCGCGAACAAAGTCCGGCGAAGAGTATTAAAAGTAATGCCAACATATTAACTGGAAATCTCGTAAATTATCCACCCGAATGACCTGTCAAAGCTGCCAAGCGCTGCTCCCGAGCACATTTCTCAAATATGAGAAATAATAAAAATGCAAACTACGCTCTTCAGCTGGAATCCGGCAAAGTGTGAGTGAGTGTGCGCGCCATTTGAAACGAAATCGAAAACAAAATCGGCCAGAATGTATGAGACCGCAATATATTCCTACCAAAAATACATTTTACAACTTTATTTTACGAGCGCAGCAAAGTTTTTGTTTTTTGCCAGGGGTTTTTCGGTCGAATTGGCGGCACTAAATGTTCTAGACAGACAACGGAGAGATGGTCTGGCCCCGGGTCTTTTGGGCCTGGCCAGGAGCGCTGCCTGTCTTAAGAGCCCGAAATTAGCACAACCCATTAAATTAATTAACTGAAGTCGAAGTTTATCGATTGCCGGTCATGGTTACCTTGACTTTGTGGTCACGCTACCAGAGTCTGATTCTTATCGAGTTTGAAGCTTTTCACGTTTTACGTCTTTTCATCATTATGTTTTTATTTAAAGTTTAAAATATATCTTTTATTTAAGTGCAACGACGGTTTTTATGTCGCTATGTAGCCATGTTTAACATACACACCAAAAAATTTGCTTGGTAAAATTGACCAAGTGTTACGTAACTATTAAATAGTTACGTTTTTGCTTTGGGTTTTTTGTTGTTTGGTAACTATTCTTCATTTGCATTTTACAGTTGTTTTACAAAGTTTTTTTGTCTGTAGCTGGACAATGTGATGCATTAATAAAATGTATCAATTAGTGTTTTTTACTATTCTATATTTAATCATTTTAGCCAGAAAAATTTATTATTTCCAATATACTGAAGTTTTTTTGTGAAATTTACATTGTTCTGCATTTTGATTTAAACACAACTTTTATTATGGATTATAAATTTATTCGAATCTTAGTTTTGTTTAGTGGATGGTATTAAAAAGAGCGTATCAATAAAAAAAAATTGATACTATTACCATAGTTTAATTTAACAACCGCTCATCGAAACACAACTTAAGCAGACAAAACATAATTTTCAGGCTAATGGCACTCCACATCAATTGCCGCTACAAACAGATGTTTAAAATGTACTAATTGAACTATGGTGACCTTAACCTGATGCTATTGAAATTATCTTGGCTAAAGAAAAGCCTCAAGCGAAGCAGTTACTAGAGCAATAGATTGTTCTACAATATGGGCACTCAGCCATTATCGGTGGGTTATGATACCCATCAGAATTAATGACAAAATGATACTCCTTCTGCAGGAACAAGTGCTGGAGGAGCAGGAGAGAACCATGGAAGAGTGCCAAGTGTATAACCTCGCGTCTGGAGGTGACTCGCAGACTCGGCATGACTAATTCCGGAGTCGGACAGCGCCAGTGTGGGCAGCAGGCCAAACTAATGAGCCGTCCGACTTGTTTTGGGGGGACTAGGAAAATTTGCAACAAAGTTGCCAGCGAGAAAACTCGATCTCGGTTCCTGTTTGAAGACGGGTTAGTTAACTCCGTGCCGGCGATCGAGATTACGAATAAGTTTACACGTTTGTAGACATCGGGGCCACAACCTGGCTACTGGCGACGCAGACACTCGAGGAACTGAATCGCTTCAGTTGGAGGAGCTGTAGGAGCTGGAAGAGCTGGAGCGGAGTTCAATTGATTGACGAACTGCCTGCAGTTGACAGACATCGGTTGTATTGTCTGCACTTATGCTAAACGATCGCTGTAATGTCCGATCCATGTCTGGCTGCCATTACGCGCTGATAATATGCATAAAGAAGTCATCGGCGAGTGGAAAACGCAACTGTGAAAAAGTTTCATGCCTGCTTAGCACTTTGATGGATGGTCTTGTTGGATTGGCCTGACAGGTCTGCTTGTAATTGTCGGTAGATTATGCTGCATTTGTATGCCGCGTAGTGTGCCGAGATGCAATTAGGGGAACGTGGCCAGCCGAGCGTTGGATGGTCCTCATTGCACCTGATTCGGGGGGTTCGGTTTCGGATTCGGACTCCACACCCCCAGACTGAGCTCAGCCGCTAATGAGCTTTCATATGTGTTTGTCCCTATTCTAAGTTCTTGGGAAACTACGACCATAAATACTAGTCCGCAGGAATCGACGGATAAAGTAATGGCTTACTTAGCAAAGCGAATTATTCATAAAGCCACGTTGTTCTTCATTTATCCGTGTCTACAAGATTAAATGGATATGGTAAAGTGATGTTGTGCAAGCCTTATAATTCAATGGGGGAGCAGCTGCACAGAAAAAAATTAACAAAAGATCAGATTGATATGTGCAGGTTAATTTAATATTTTTCAAAGATCAATTTATTCTTATTATTTTAAAATGTATATCTTATTTTACAATATTTGTTTAAAAACTATTAAATTTGGAGTTTTGAAACCGTATTTTTAAAACTTTTATGATTAAATCATAAACTTGATATTAATCATATCGTCTTTTTAGTGATTTGAAATAATGTAGTAGTAGTAGTAATGACCCTATTTCATAACTAATTTTTGTCTGTGTATCTCAATGTTCTAAAATGAAGATATGTTAATCCTTTTCCGTAGCCTTGCTAAATTCTTTTTTAAACTACTTTTTATAAGTCTTTTAACTTTAAACTTAATTGTATAACTATTTTTTAATTTTTAATTCGCTTACTTGTCTTAAAAAAACATCGTGAATGTGGATAATGAAGTAAATGACATTTTCCCACACATAAATTAAGCTTAACTGCTTTAAGATCAGGCGATCAAATCACTTAATAAAGAATAGGCGGCACTGGTGCCTCCAGGTGTCAACTGTTGACAGCTTGGTGTATCCATGTTAATTGATTATTTCATGCGCCGTCACCGACGCCACTCTGCCTGTCTTTCCAAGCATTTCGTTTCTTTGCACTCGTGCAGGGCTAAGGCTCACGATTTTGTCTTTTGCAAACCGTAAGTGAACTGTCCAGAAGAATGTCTTTATACATTTCCCCAAATTAAACATATTATTTATGTCTATTTGAGAATACAAACTCAAGGGGCCAGCATCAAATTAAGTTACCACTGACTGCGAGGGATATGTAATATTATTTCCTCTCCGCCTAACCAAATATTCTTATGATTTTTTAGGTATTTAATACTGCATGTGAAAAAATTATTTTCTCCAAAAAGTCTGGATTTTCATTTATTTTTTTGAAATTAATATTTTTGTCGTGGGTATCCATTAGTCGAAAGCGTTCGCTATGGAACTCCTGCTGGCTTCTTTTGTTATTTACTAGTCTGGGCCCCGAGAACAACAACAACTTGATTAGGCCTTCTGTCAGAGGCGTCTCTGCCCCAGATGCCTATAGTACGTGCCGCGACGCCGCATGGTTTCATGGATCTGTCCTCGTTGCTCCCAGCGGCGGCATTCGCGGCCTATAATTAGGTGGCAATCATTTAGAGGCGCGAGATGCACGGCCACTCCTTGCCAGACTCCTCTGTGTGGATAGGGCCAGGATAAAAATGCTGGCAATTTTCTTTGTGTTTTTCATTTTCAATTTTCCCTGTGCACTTTACTAAATGAGCCATAAATATGGCTAGATACTTGCAAAGATCACAGATTAAGCAAGTTACACGATTCATCATACAATCTTTAGGCCCATACAGCAGAGAGACTTTACATGACAGAAACAACCACAGACGACATGACCCTAATTAAATATAATGGACCACTGCAAAATGGCTCACAGTCGGGACTTTGTTTTAATGAAGAACTAATACCACTAATTACACTCAAATTGATTTTAATATGTTGTAAGCGGTATGTTCATTTTAGTAATGCTCCTTTTATAATGCATTGGTTTGCCCATCACCTAAATTATCACATATGTTCATTGAAAGCATAAAAGTTGTTAACCCTTTTCTATATGCAATTTTAAGCACGCACTTCAAATAGATAATTATATATTTATAAGAATAACTATCTACGTTGAAAAAAGTGGTGAAATCATCTAAAAATGGTTACTGTTCCGGATTGAAGACAACAACAACGTAATTAAATATTTATGAGAATAACAATAAAAAATAACAAATATATACTACATTTTACTTAATGATCCCGTCAGACAACAACAAGTAATATTACAACTGGTCTCGTCTTCTTAACAAGCAGGGATAGAGGGTTACTGGTTTTAAAAATGGACGAAAAGCTAATGTTGTTCCATTTTAAAACAAGAGAGAAGCTATAGTCGAGTACCTCGACTATCGGATACCCGTTACTCAGCCAAGGAAAGTGCGAGAGATGGAGAAATGTATGTAGTAGCTACTGCTTGAATTTTATTACTTACTCATAATTTTTTAATTAATGGTCCGATATGAATATTTGTTTCTATATACAATATATAACACAATATACCCTTTCACTCTACGATAGATTGATTGAGAAGAAGGGGTATTTTTTCTTTATAATAAATTCAAATATTTTTATACTGCACACTTTAGTACCTTTCTGTTGATATGCCCTATATACCCAAAATATTTTTAATATTGTACCAGATGATAATAAGATCGCAAAATATTACAAAATATTATTTTCTGGATTTACGATCGGTTTTTCTGAATAATTTCAGTTCTAAATCCCCCGCTAAAATTTTGTTTCTTATTTGTAAATATTCATGTACTAAGCATTCACTTACCCAAGGGCACATTGGCGCCATTCTTGCGATTGACGGAAACTGAGATCGGCAAAATGGCGGCGCCGGAAGTGGACGATGGCGAGGGCGACGACGAGTCGCAGGAGCCCTCCAGCGATTGGGCGGGCGTTGGCACCGTGGTCATGTGATGGTCGGCACTGGTGATCACCGAGGTGCCGGAAGACCTTCCGCCTCCTGCTCCGCCACCCGAGCTGGCTCCTCCTCCGCCTCCTGCTCCGTTGCTATTGCTGGAACCGCTGCTCGAGGTGGCCGCTGCCGCATTGCTGGAACTGGCCACCCCACCGCCCGAGCTGCTGCTGGCCGGACCCACACTTCCGCCGTGCTCGCTGTGCGGCGGCGATCGCAGCGTGGTGTGCTGCGGAGGCGGCTGTTGATGCGAATGCTGGTGGTGGCTCTGGTGGTGGTGGTGGTGCGAGTGGGGGTGGCTCTGGTGCTGGTGCTGGGCCACCGAGGCGGCTGCGGCGGCTGCCATGTGAACGTGGTGCGCGTGGGCGTGGCCATGGAGGCTGGAGGCGACCGCAGAGGAGCCACCAAGATGGGAGGCTGGAGCCGACGGAGCTGCTGCTGCGGCTGCTGCGGCTGCTGCTGCCGCGGCGGCCTGCTGGTGGTGCAGGACATGACCGTGATGCGAGTGGTGGCCGTGGGCATGATGGGCATGCACATGGTGGCCGTGGACGTGGGCAGGAGCGGCGGCATGGTGGTGGTGGCCCAGCAAGGTTGTGGGGGCCGCACCGGCGGGCGGCACCTCGTGCATGTGAAGCGCCCGCTGCTCGTCCTGCGCCTGGGCTCGCCTCAAGGCCGTTTGCAGGGCCATCACGCGCTGGCGGTCCGCCGTCAGGCGGCACTTCTCGCAAGTGCAGTAGCGGAACTTGCAGTACCGCTTGTGTCCCTTCAGGGTGATCTTCAGGCCGTGATTGCGGCAGCGGGCGCAGTTGGGCGGCGTCCTGGGCGAAATGGAGCTCCCGCTGGAGCTGGAGGCCCCGCCACACACGTCGTTCTTCGAGTCGATCATGTCCGAGTCGGACATCGTGTCGCTATTCCAGTTCTCCTCGGAAACCATGTTTGCTACTTCTGTATCCTAGGTAAAAGTTCGAGTGTCTAAGTCTATTTTTTCGTGCTTTATGCTAATTTTAGAAGCATTTTCTGCGGTCGATTAATTGGTGTTTGCGGTTGAATTACTGGGATATTTAATTATTCAACATTAAACAGTTTATTTTAATAACACTTTAAATATTCAAGTTGCGATTAGGTCTTTATTTGATTAATTATAAGTTTCGGTATTTGTGTTTATATAGATATATTTGTCTGTAGATTATTGAGAAATATTAGATATTACGTTTCACTTTTCAGAATTTTATGGTTTATTTGAAATTTCCAAGCCCCTGAAATGAAAAGATATTTAAATTTCTTGTTAAGTGTATTAAACAAATATCGGATAAAGGTTAAATAATAAATAATATATTATGGAATTTACGGCCTATTATTATACATTTGCACAAATGAAATTCCGATGCATCCATTTGCTCTTAACAACACGCACAAATTTTTATTAACGATTGAACAAAATTGTTTTTCCTTTGTACGCTTGGCTAGCGGTAGCAAACAATTTACATTTGTATTGTTAACGCAAGAAAATGTTTGCAATATTTTTGCATACACTTCACTACCAAATAAAAGTTGAATGAGAGCAGGAGGCAAAACTTCATTTCGATTGGCCGTCGAATATTGCATGTCATAAGGTAATATAATAGGAAAAATTAATTTGATTCGATCTGCCACGCCACATATAGTTTAGATTCGTTTTGGATATTAGAAACAACTTGAAGGCGGAGTCGGACATGTAGATACATTGTATTGATAGAAGTAATGAATTTGTCACGGGTACGTATAAGTCTACCTAACGGATGCGCAAAAAACCAATGGGAGAGTGGCAAAGACTTATGAATGAGTTTTGACTTTTTGAACTGGCAAGCTGTAAATTACCCGAGACATTTTTTTGCTTGAGAATTGCGTGAAAAATATTCTCCATTCAATTCAAGAATTTTATGACCAACATTTGATTGCGAAAAATGTTGGTACATTTAGTAATCGTATTTTCCAAAACATATTGTTTAAATTTTTTTCATAGAGGAAAAGCCGGTAAGTTTAACGGTCAACTTTCACACATTTTTCTACATAAAATGTTTTTTAATTTTTGTTATATAATGTTTATAATGGCAAAACTTGTAGTTAAAGAATTGAATGCCATGCTCACGCCGGATTTTAGCTGTGATATTATGCATAATATGTGTTCCACTTTATTAAAAATGAAAAAAAAATTACAGACGTGTTTAAATTGAATTGGATAAAGGACACAAGCATAGGTTGTAAAATTTATAATAATATCCATAGGGTTTCTACAACTGTCCAATGTTTTTTTATTTTAAATCTAAAATGACAAAGTTCTTATTCTTTGTAGCAGGGACCGTAAGTAACAGTTATTTGAGATTTATATTTTAAAAGGCCTACTGAGATTTGTACAAGTTTTAATTAACAATTTAACTGGATTTTATGCACTTTATAGACATGAACAAATAACAGTTCATTTGCTTTCCAGATTTGTTAATATGCATATACTTTGTGGACAAGAGTAAAAAGAGTGTTATTTTTCAATTTAAAACCAAAATATCACAGTAGTCTTTTTAAACTAATATTTCAAATAACTGTAATTTACGGTCCCTGCTTTGTAGCCTTATATTGTTTAGGCATTAAAATAAAAAAAATTTTTTATTAAATGCTTTAATCCTTTTCTAGTTGTAATTCATTAGACCATTTCAATAACTATATTTAAATTTAAAGAATTACAAACAAAAATTGAGAGAAACACATTTTTTTGATGTTTTACGTTATTAAAAATGTTAGAAGCTTTAAGGAATGAAAGAAATTGTTTTTGTTCGTTAATATCATCATCAAATACTTTACTCATAACCTAAGAACTTCGTTATTAAAGTTTTAAATTTTTACACTACTTTTTGAAAACTGTTTTAAAATGTAACTAATGAGTTTCAAACCTAAAAAATTTTAATTAATAATTTACCTGTTTAGCGTTTGTGTATGTTGAAAGACTTTATATTTTATTTTAAAAATACTTTTAATAATATTTGAAAATACGGTTATATATTTTCAATCAATTCTTATTTAACGTTAACTTTATATATTTAATGGGATTTATAAGTTAAGGTTAGGAATATGGTGTATTTGCCGGATTACTTTTGATGATATAGTAGAATAAATGGTAGGTCTAGCTTTTAAAGAATTTCGCACATAGCACTTGTTTTTCACAATTCCAATTATACAGTCACTCTCAGCTGTATGTATTTAAATATCAATCAATATTCATCACACAACAAACAAAAAATCACACTGTAAGTGTTGCACGATCGCGGTCGCCTGGCAAAAAGCCGCCGGTAAAACGCGCGACTGAAGAAACCGATTGCAGTCCAGTTGAACGATTAAGTCAGCAACGATAGTAACGTGCAAAAATCAATATTTATAGGGCTGCTCAGATCTGGTATTTAGCCGTACAACTTCTCAAAAACATTCCGCGAGTCGCGAGCCGAGCTTTTTTGCTTCTGCTGCTGCTGACCGATCTGAAATCTTTGGCGTGCACAAGGCAACTCACATGGGCCGCAAGACGCGGATGCAAAGAACTCAAAAGCGCCGAGCACAGCGGTCGCCGAGTGCTTCTGTATTGGTGCGACCGATGTTTGCCTGTGTTTGCGTGGAAGCGGGCACCGCCAACGAAACGGAACCGAAAATCGCATCGAGAGAGCAAGAGCAGCGCACCCAAACTATGCCACAGTGGCCCCAAAGTCCTTGATAATCCTGCGAAGCTGAGCTAATGTTTGCTAACTAATATTGAACTAATATTGAAATTAATATTTTAGTCCTTTCTTTGTTTTTGATTAAACTAAACATTTGTGATCACTGATCACATTTTAGTAAAACTGTAATAAAAATGTTTTCCATATTTGACAAGTTTCATTAATATACAACCAGTTCATAAAGTATTATTATTTTAGATTACTTTCAGGAAATCATAAAAACCCACTACTGCGCAGCCTAAACCGGTTAGGGATTACAGAGTCTTAGAAGCAGCAATAACAGTGAACTCTTTAAATTTATTTTTTGGTCTATTCCGACAACTGACCTTAACGTTTTTGACAATGCGTTTTCTAACTTAAATATAAGTACATGTCAAAAAGTTTTTAAGGAACATGAGTTTTTTTTACCAATTTGTCAAATATTACTTGTCTTAAAAGGGTTTTCATATTCGTTAAATAAGTTTTTGGACCACTGTGCATCGTCGCTGCGTGCATTTGGAGAAATGTGGGGGCTGCACCAATACACCATCGCACTGGCACATGCAGCACACACTCGCGATGACATACGGACGGACTAGTACATAGGCAGCCTCACACACATTGGCTGGCTTTGCGGCGTTGTTGTTTCTCGTTGTCGTTGTTGTTGTTTCGTTGGTGTTGCCGCTTTCGCTGCACTTGGGTGTAGTTGTGTTGCCGGTTGCAGTCGCCATGCAACTTGTCCAAGTTCGAGTTGCAGTTGGATCGCGTTGCAGTGCGCTCGACTTGCTTAATTGCTTTTTTGCATTTCTGCTCGCCCGCTTTGTGCTGCGAATTTTATTGCATTTGTTTTGGTTATTTCTTCGTTCTAAAGGGCGTATGAGTGATGTGCATATTTGTAGATACCACTCGGCGGGTATTATGGTCTTCCAGTGGCTTGTGCAACGTCCTAACAAAGGAGTTTCCAATCATGGCTATACAGTCGATAACAACTACATGGAAATCATTCCAAGTGTGCTATTGGAACTGAGTATTCGTTAATGATATGGCCATGAATTCTGGTATATAGACTTCTTATCTAACTAGGTTGAATATAATATTATAGCAAACGAATTGTTAACACTTCGAGACTTTTTGTAATTTATGCACGAACTCAGGATATAAGAAAAAATTGGGTCAAATTTAACAACTCAAACTGTTTCTTTTTAAGGTTTTAAAATGTCTGTATAAAATGATAAATGCCTTTTTATTATACATACATTAAAAGGATAAACACCTGTAGTCATCTTACAAACTTAACGGAAAATTAATTATACCTTGCATTCTGCTAATATGTAGATTAACACAATTTCATTTTAACATTTTTAGGATTTCCTTGAATAAATGTATGTTAAGTAAAATACATTTTCAATCACTTCCTTTGTCAGATTATCTAAATTTATTGGGTCTTTTAAACAGTCAACACTCTGATTGATTCGAATTATTTTTAAAAATTGTAAACATTTTGAGAAAGGGAATTCAATGCACTACCATTTATTTTCATACACTTCCTCTACAACTGATGGCGTGTTTAATACGTGTTTAATCTAATTTGCACTTGGGTTGGCATTAGGGTGACTCATTGAACTTGCTTATACATATTTACACTTAAAATGTTTGACGATTGATTAGAGCCGAACCAAATAGAGATAATGAAAACAAAAAATGTGCCAAATCGGAAAGCCCCCTGAAATAATTGAAACTAATAGCTAAGTTATATGAAGTGTTTAATGTTGGTTAATTTTTGGTTTTTCGTAATTACTTAATTTCGGAGTCTAAAGAGTTAATACCCAGCATTTAAAAGGAGGGTAAATTGGGCATGAAAGATGTGCTGATAACGGGTCTCACATTTCGTGCTAGCACCAGATACCCGCCCTCTTTCTTTCACCGCCCTCCCTGCGGTGACCACGGCAAAATGTTGTTACTTGTGCCTCTGTGTTTAAAAATTGCACACGATCACTTATCTTGCATGTCGCCTCTAATTTGTATTTGTAGAGAGCCAGAGCCCCAGAGAGAAAGAACTGCACCGCAGAGCCACTTAAAGAGAAAGAGCCGGGGGCCTATCAGTAGAATGGCGATTCAATATTTGCTAATTATGTGACGGGTGCGTTGGGGGGAATGTGTTAAATATCAAGGGAATCAGCTTTTCAGTCGCGAAAAGAGAAGCGGATTAAATTGATTACAGGTGAGCATAAAAGACGCGCAGCTTGTGCAATTAATTTGTCTAAAGCGGAAGAGATCCCGATAAGAGCCCACTTCAGGTTATTAATGGGCCAAGGGCGACTTTGCGTTATAAATGGCAAAAGCGCCTTAAGACGTTTATATGATAATTGTAAGTGAGGTGCAGCTTATAAAATATATTGAGCATGTGAAGATCATTATGACTTTGCACTCAGAA